CAGCAGCCCGAATACCTATCTGAATAGTTATCGCAGTTTCTTATAAAGCCCGCACAAATCAACTCCTTATTTCGTGGTGTTTAATTTATTAGTCTTTGGATAGTATTAGTCGCTTGGATTTTCAATCCGACAATGCAGACTTACTTCGGTATTGGCGTTTACATGCTTACATCTAATCTTGAGATCCGCTCTGAATTTCTAGAGTAATCGAGAAGTAGTCAGAGAAGGAGGTAGGGAGTTCCAGAAAAAAGGTCTAATAAAAGCAAAAGCAGATACTTTCACCATTTTACAACTAGTTTATCCATCTATCTTTTTATCAATCCGTCATTCATTCATTTATCTATTTATTCATCTATCTATCATTCATTCAGCATTCATTCATTCACTCATTCATTCATACTTTATCCATTGATAACCTTGACTTTAACTTTATCCACCAATCTTTTTATCCATCCGTCATTCATTCATCTATCTTTTTATTCATCCATCTATCTATCATTCATTCATATTATTATTATTGATATTATTATTATTATTATTGATATTATTATTATTATTAATGGACAATGCGATAGTGTGATGGTTAAGGCGCCTGGCAGCTGTGTTGCAGTAACCGAGTTCCATTTCTATCACAGCATGCAAAAACTGTGTTTGTTGCTGCAGAGCAGATGCGTTTGAGAAATAATAATATTTATGACAATAATTATGGTAATATTTATGATAATAATTGTAAATTATATTTCATATAATTATCTATGTTACGGTATTTCTTTAATTTTTATTCTTTGCCTAACAGCCTGACTTTTGACTATCCCATTTAAATACTTTACACTTGGTCAGTTTTATTACTGCGTGTTAATAGCTTGGTATTTGTACCTAGAATTTAATTTTTCTGTTTTAGGTTGGTTATATCCATTTATTTATGATATCTGTATTATTTCATTATTGCTTTAATTGATTTTGCTTATTATGTTTTTTATTTACCAGAGGCGTAGCTAGGGGGCGGGGGTACATATGTCCCCTGGCGCCAAGTACAAGAGGCGCCAAAATTAGGCTAACAAAATTTTCACAAAAGTTAAAATTACATGTCAAAATAAACGATTAAAATAAAAAATATTAAATTTTAATAAATTAATAATGATTGTGGTAAGTTTTGATTTTTCATTTTTCACGCAAAACAACGAAATCATTTAAAATAAAGAGTGCCAACACCACCAGCACACACCGCTCCCATGTAAAATATACTGCTTTGAAATTGGTTTTAAAGTATACAAAGACGTAAAAACTAAGGTTAGATTTAAGCTTCTATCAACATTTAAAAATGTTATAAATAGAAAAATTTTTTTTTATTGAATTCAATAAATTTTATGTCAATAAGTTAAAGGCTAAGCATACATGACACATAATAACAACATCACTAATTGTGAGGTGAGCTGGACAATTTTCTTTATGCTATAACATGGGTTATGCATAAATTATAAGCTGACCTTTGTGTAAAAGAACTTGTGCACGTGTGTATACTATATAATTGTATATGACGAATCATATAGCTACATAATATATATATATACATATAGTTACATAAGCGCATAATTTAAGAACATTGTATGTTAGCGGTTAGGCTATTTACATGTGTAATAAAAAAAAATTTTTGTACACTGGGATTTTGTGATTAAACTATTGACTGAGTACTTTATCTGTATAACATGGTCAAGCAGTGTGCGCGCTATGAAAGTTCACATGTGAATTTTTTGTTTATTAGCTCTGAGCATATTATAAACTCTTTTAAAGTTCAGTAAGCCGTATTTTATAAAGTATTAATCTATCGTATCTGCGTGAAATCTGGAAAAACTATGTAAATTATCTTCGAAAGTGACTGAGCCACATGTTATAATTTTTATATTTATGTTTTATCTTTAAATACAATGTTCCATTAAAATTTTATTTGTTTTTGTAATTTTTACAATGTGATTAAACGTGGATGGGAGGCGCCAATTTTATAGTTTGTCCTCGAAAGCAAACATATATAACTGTAGGACAAGACAAGACAAGCAAAGTGTTTCAAAAAATTGTTCTACTTGGCATGCGTCATAGGGATCACGCCGTGACAGGAAATATCCTAAAGTCCATGAGTTCAGGATTGGCCAACTATTTTTTCGGCGCCAACTTAACTGAGAAACTGACTGTGGAGAAGTTCCTTGACTTTCAGAAGCAGCTGATGACCGAGGTGCTGCAGTTGGAGGTAAGATTAGGGATTAGGACATGACGATGGTGGTGATGATGATGATGTTGGTTTATTATTATTTGTAGTGGTTGTAGTAGCAGCAGTTGTGGTAGCAGTTGTTGTAGTAGTAGTAAAGCAACAGTGATGAAGATTTTAAAACTATAATAAAAATGATTGTAATGAGGATGATGATGACCGATAAAATGGTAAGAAGGAGAATAATAACAAACAACAACGACAAATAACAACGACAAACAGTTCAACAGATATGAACCGACGAATGGAAAAATCAACGAAAGAGACTTCGCAGATAGCATCATCATCTACGCTGGTCACAATTTCAATAAGAGGTCCAAGATGTTGAAGAAGGTTAAGAGGAACTTTGCCGGTGGGACCGTAAGTTAATTCTAAATTTCTAAATCCCTAATCCGATTTTTTCAGTTGGTTTGTTTGATGGTTGGTGTTAGTCATACCTAATTCGATTTTCTTTTATTTGGTCGTCAGTTCGCATTTTAAATCACTTTAATCGATCAATCAGTCAACCTACATCGTCATCTTCATCATCATCGCCTCGTCATCTTCCTCATCATGTCTTCAATTTGCTTGAACCAAATTTTTTTTTAAAAACTTGTTGAATTAAATATTCAAACCTCTGTTGATTATTCGATGCTCAATTATTTCGTAAATCAAACATTGTAATAATTTAAAATTTTAATGGTTATTAAAGATAAAACGATAATTTAAACACGCTCTATCAAAGCATTAACTATCAACCACACTCATCATAAAAGTCATATAAACTATAAATTGTAGATTTTATTAAAATGTTAAACCATTTAAATATATATATAATATAAACATACAAGCAATACATCCAATATGTTGAGTTTCAGTCCATTTTTAACAAAACCAAAACTATATCAATAAGAGTAAACCAGAAAATTTTTATTAAAATTAACATCAAAATTACACATTATGATAATATAACAAATGGCAAACCAGAATTTTTCAACCTTCTTATGGAAGGTTAATTTTGATGCATTAACTTCTTTGATAAAATCGTGGATGTCTTCGATAAGTGTATTGTCATTCATGAATTTTAATATGTCTTTTGTTCTTCGCACCACCCCGATTTTATGCCAACTTTCTGTTTGACTTCAAATGTGTTATCGACAAAACAACCCAACGCAAAATTATTTGCATTTGTATTTGGGGTTGCTGACTTACATTGTTTTCTTCACCACCATCCAGAGCCCAATGTCTTCAACAAGTACACTGTCATTCATGAATTTGAACCTGTTTTTTTCAAGTGTGTTCACTTCAGTGTTTAGAATCAGCATGTATGTACGTATGTATAACCCAGATGCTTCAGAGGAGTTGCAAATTTTTCTAACGTGAAATTATCATTAATGAATTGTGGCTGTAAAATGTAAAAACTCATACGGCGGTATGTTTGACCGCATCATGTTTTGAAATGTCTCGAAGCAGTGATCAGCTTTCCATCGGACTGACTGTTTCGCACAGCAATGAACATAATTTTAATATGTTTTTTGTTCTTCGCACCACCCCGATTTTATGCCAACTTTCTGTTTGACTTCAAATGTGTTATCGACAAAACAACCCAACGCAAAATTATTTGCATTTGTATTTGGGGTTGCTGACTTACATTGTTTTCTTCACCACCATCCAGAGCCCAATGTCTTCAACAAGTACACTGTCATTCATGAATTTGAACCTGTTTTTTTCAAGTGTGTTCACTTCAGTGTTTAGAATCAGCATGTATGTACGTATGTATAACCCAGATGCTTCAGAGGAGTTGCAAATTTTTCTAACGTGAAATTATCATTAATGAATTGTGGCTGTAAAATGTAAAAACTCATACGGCGGTATGTTTGACCGCATCATGTTTTGAAATGTCTCGAAGCAGTGATCAGCTTTCCATCGGACTGACTGTTTCGCACAGCAACGAACATAAGACCACCATGTCTTCAATTTTGAACCAAACTTTTTTTAAAAAGACTTGAATTAAATATTCAACACCTTTGTTGATTATTCGATAGTCAATTATCTCATAAATCAAACTTTGTAATAATTTTAATTTTTAATGGTTTTGGCATGTTTCAATTGTGTAAAAAAAAACAAGATACAAATATATTACATTTATTTACAGATAAGGCATGAAATGAATAAATTGACAAATAAAAACAATATGAAAAACGACAAAATACGAATAGAACCAGAAACCATAACAGTGTCAGCTAATTTAAACACGCTGTGTCAAAGCATTAACTATCAACCACACTCATCATTTATTAAAATGTTAAACCATTTAAATATATATATATAATATAAACATACAAGCAAAGTTCTTTGAAGTCATTCCACTTTGGATAAACTCTTTTGTAAAGTTTCATTAAGACAACGTCATGAGATTTGACTTTATCAAAAAATTAGCATTTCATGGGTCCATAGGTCCCTAATGGATCAACAATGTAACCCAGCGCTCCACGTTTTCTTTTAAGGCTCACCGGTTTGTACCACAATTTGGAAGATTTTCAGTGCACTGTCATTCATGAATTTGAATCTGTTTTATTTGGTCTTCGCATACATGCTCGTTTGTTTTTTGGTTCTGATAAAATGTTATACCGTTTTTCAACAATAAAAAACAAATAACAAACAACAGACAACAAAAATTTAATCAAGCACACATCCAGTAATTCTGCAGCTAAATCAGAGATGGGCAAACTTATTATTGACTACTTACTATTGGTTTTTAATGGACACACAAATTACTATTCGTCTTGTGTTTCCATGACGATTTATACGAAGCTGGTGATTTCTTAATATTTAAAACATTTTTGACTTTTTCATTACCAGCATCCATATGTTGAACCATTGTTTCTTTACTTTCGTTATTATCGCAACTTTCATCATCATCATGTTTCCTCATTTGACAACAAATTACTATTCGTCTTGTGCATCCATGACGATTTAAACGAAGTTGGTGATTTCTTAATATTCAAAACATTTAAAATTCTTCAATGGCTGGTTTTCATTAGACCCCTCATGCACTTTTTTGGAGTGATATTGATTCTACAGGTTGTGATTCTTTATCCTTCTCAACTTCTTTATTTTCTTTGACTCTATCAGCCACGATGACGTAATTTTTAAACATCTGTCCTTTTAACTTAGAGCTAAGTTTATTTAACTTATTTTCTGATCCGATGTCTACAAAGCCAAACTTTTTTTTATCAATTTTGTTGACAGCTATCACAGGGAAGCCATGTTTTTCCACCAATTCCTTGAGTTATTGGGCTGTCACACCCATAAAATCTCGACAGGCAAGGAACAAACTTGTTGACTTGTTAATTTGAACAACCTTCTAAAAAAAGCTGAAGCGGAATTTTTAAACATCTGTCCTTTTAGCTTAGAGCTAAGTTCATTTAACTTATCTTCTGATGGTGAGGTCATTTTCGATGGATGCCACAGTGATCAACCTCTCCAGCTACAGCTAAACTTGTTGACTTGTTAATTTGAACAACCTTCTAAAAAAAGCTGAAGCGGAATTTTTAAACATCTGTCCTTTTAGCTTAGAGCTAAGTTCATTTAACTTATCTTCTGATGGTGAGGTCATTTTCGATGGATGCCACAGTGATCAACCTCTCCAGCTACAGCTTTTTTCCACCCAGACCCTTGACGCAGAAAAGTCGATCGAGGAGTGATATTGATTCTACAGGTTGTGATTCTTTATCCTTCTCAACTTCTTTATTCTCTTTGACTCTATCAGCCACGATGACGTAATTTTTAAACATCTGTCCTTTTAACTTAGAGCTAAGTTCATTTAACTTATCTTCCTCGTTCATGAATTTGAATGTTTTTTTGGTCTTTGCACCAGCCCGTTTTTATTCGTCAAGTGTTTCACTCTTCGACCACTTCATCACCAGCTTCACTTGCTCATTTAACTTGAAAGATTTTATTATTATTATTATTAACATCAACATTATGTTGATATTCAGCAGGCACCTGAAGCTCTCAAACGACACCACCATCAGAGGGACTGCAGCGTGAAGAAAGCGAACATTTTCGTCAGTTTAATTAGCAGAGTGATATCATCACCCTATGCATATATTGTGATCAGAACAATGCATGAATAAATTTCTTTAACTATCAATATCTTATCATCGCTGTACTTATTTTAAATGAAGATTTTAAACTATGATTATGATTCCATTTTAATCATTGCTATTTCTCTATTAATTAATTATTTTACGCATTTTATGAAAAATTAAAAGATCTGCTTCCATGAATTTTAACATTATTATTGTTGTGGCTTGTTATTATTATTGCTATTATAATTATAGCCATCCTTGTCATATATAACTACAAAGCCACCGCTATCAACGCTGTTCTCGTCATCATCATCAGCATCGTCATAGATTTCTTCTTCATTACAATCGTCATCATCACCTGCGTTATTATTATCATAAATCATGTTTATCAGTATCTCGGCGAGTATCATAAATGATGTTATCAAATATCGGTAACATTATCATAAATTTTGTTAATGTTATCATAAATTATGTTAATGTTGTCATGAATTATATTATAAATGATATTAATGTTATTATAAATGATATTAATGTTATCATAAATTATTTTAACGTCATCAAAATTATTTTAATGTCATCAAAATTATTTTAATGTCATTATAAAATAAATTATTTTAATGTCATTATAAAATAAATTATTTTAATGTCATCATATAAATTATGTTAATGTTATCATAAATTAAGACTATCATCGTGATTAATGAAAATTACCGGTTGTACTTTTATCATCGATTTCGACCACGTGTTATTTGCTGTTTCTTGATCTCTTGACTGCCCATCCTCAAACTTATTATTATAATTAATTAATTATTTAATTAATAATCTGTAATAATAATAAACTAATTAATAATAAATTAATTATGCCTTAATTAATATTATATAGTACTAAAATTGTTACTTTTTAATTCAATGATACCATATTGAATGAATGAATGACAGAGAGTAAAATGTTGCTCATTCTTACATAATAACCTAACAACACCTACATTATAAAAAGTATTTCTAATGTAATCAATTCGAATGTAATTCTATTAAAATACAATTTTAATACTTAGTACGAGTGCATTGTGACAAATCATTAAAACAAAAAAAACAGTAAAATCTACCCACGTCGGCATAAAGATACAGCGAAACGACATCAATCTCTTCTTCCAATGAAATAACGATACAACAGTTCTGTGTATCCTCTTTTATACACGTACGCACACGCACACACACACACACACACACACACACACATATATATATATATATATATATATACATCCTTGTAACCAGCTAACTCTTTGTCTAATTAGCAATAACCTCGTGAATATTCATTCGCAAATACTTCTTTGTTCAACGTTCTTTTTGTCTAGTAAGCATTAAAAGCATTTGTATTTGTATCATAACTGATAGTATTTGTATCATAACTGATAGTATTTGTATGATAAATGATAGTGTTTGTATGATAAATGATAGTATCATAACTAGTACTATCATTATCATCACCGACAGATACTGCTTTTTAGGTTTCTTTACTCTAGTTCATCATGCCTGGAGTAGCTGGCCTACTTGCTGACCTACATAGTACAGCCTGAAATACTTGTAGTACACGTGTAAGCAAAACGTGTTAGTGTGTATGTGTGTTTGTGTGTGTGGTGTGTGTGTGTGTTTGTTTGTCTGTGTGATGTGTGATTGTGTTGTCGTTGTTTTTGGGACAAAAATTGTTGACGTTAAAGAAGCATTTTTCATCTTGCAAGTTCAAGCTTTATTGAATGATATTTCTCGCAATGAAATCTCAAAATATATATTCACATACACACAGACACGCACATACATATGCACTAACTCACAGACAGATGCGTGCACTCAGACGCACACACCCACACACACAGAGAGAAACTAGCTTAATTTAAAATCAGGGAGACAATGAATTCTTTCTCGCCATGGAAACTATTTAGACCAACATTCAGCGGAACAAAATAAAAGTTTGACATCAGCTACGAAGCAGTAAAACTAAGAAGCTTTGCACAGCAAAAGATTTATATGAAAATGTATATATGTGGTTATTTATGCGTGTGTTTGTGTGTATGGGTGTGTCTGTATGCGTGTGTGTATGTCATGTCAATATAGATTTATATAGAGTTATATAGAGTTTCATTGAAAATCATGGGATTTCCGCGATTTCAGTCCCCATGCTCACCTCTAACACACAAACATCTACACACGCGCACACAAACAAACACAAAAATTAAAAAAACTCGTATTTTAAAATCATTCAAAGCATTCAAATTATGAGTTTGTTTGTTTATTAAGTTAGAATATTATTATGATTATTATTATTAATGTTGTTGCTGTTATTATTATTATCCTTCTCATCATTGTAATATTCGTAAATTAAGTTATTACGTATAAAATAATACTGCAACTGCAAGACTTGATGATAGAGTGAAGAAAAGTAAAATGAATGAATGGATGAACGAACGATATATGAAATAACATTAAATAACATGCTAGTCAATTAATTTAATTAATGCATCACTAAGTAAAAAAAAGAATAATGAATGAATGAATGAATGAATGAATGAATGAATGAATGAATGAATGAATGAATGAATGAATGTACGATCGACCAACGAATGATTTGAAATAATGAAAAACCATTGGTACGCTCTACATTCTTAATTTAGAAATATTATATATTATTATATATACACCGATTGATTACAAAATCTCGTCATATGTGTCATGTGTGTGTTTGTGTACGAGTGTGTTTGTACGTGTGTGTGTGTGTGTGTGTGTGTGTGTGTGTGTGCGTGTGGTGTGTGGACGTGCGAGTTCATATTTGAAAAAAACTATCTTAAAACCAGATGCGTTATAAATACTATATATATATATATCTACAATAAATAGATACATATA